ACCACACCATATCACACCAAACCATACCACACCATATCACACCAAACCATACCACACCATACCACACCATATCACACCAAACCATACCACACCATACCACACCATATCACACCAAACCATACCACACCATACCACACCAAACCATACCACACCACACCATATCACACCAAACCATACCACACCACACCATACCACACCATATCACACCAAACCATACCATACTATACTATACCATACCACACCATACCATACCACACCATACCACACCATATCACACCAAACCATACCATACCATACTATACCACACCACACCATGCGATATATCACATAGCTCCATATGTTGTGTAATGTTATGTGCATCATATGCAATATTTAGTCATTTTTAATCATGCTTTGGATGTATTGACTCATTATATACAAAGGGATATTCAGATATAACAAATATAAATTGCTTCAGCAGGTCAAAAGAAACTTAAATCCTTTCGAAATCTCTTTTGAGATATTTTGATAGAGAGCAGCCCTGAGCGGGGCTGGACTTACCCTCTGTTGGCGATGTCTTCAGCCGCCTGCAGAGCCCATCTATGTCCCCATAGTCTTCCTGGATTTTGGTGACAGCCTCCAAACCCCGCAGCTCCATGAGGGAGCGCAGCTCCATGAGGGAGCAGCCGAATTCGCTCCCATGGATGGTCTTGTTTCTTTGGTTCTTTTCATGGAAGTCACTGTTGGTCATTTCCCCCATTGTGGCCAGTATTGCTTTCAATTCAGTTTTACTCAGAAGCAGACAGGAAGGTTACAAAAAAAAAGCCGATGACTCTGATTTGATCAGCGAGAAATCCTTAATCCAGATTTAGAGCTGGATGGAGGAGAGAATCCAGTAAAGGCCGTGGAGCTAAGAGGAAGGATCCCCCTGCTTTAGGAGAAGAAGGCATAAGACCATCCAGGTGCTCTGAAGCCGTCTAGCTGAGTCTTGCTCTCAGGGTTGCAGTCCAGCACCGCTACGCTTGTACCTGCCCATTCTGCTGCTCTGGCGCTGCAGCTACCTACATGTTAACACCCTCCATCATTCCTTCAGAGAGAGGAACAGAGAGAGAGACACACAGAGAGTCAATCACAGCATTAGCGTCACAGCCATTGAACAGCAATGGTCACAGGACTATGGCTACACTCATAGAGGTCCCTGGCACCAGCACGGCAGCGTGGAGACCCGCGTGGAGACCTGTTAAACCTCACCATCGGTACCAGTGAGTTAGTGTGAAACCGTGAGCAGCACACGACTGACTGCAGCAGATGACCTGCCCTGCTTTGATCAGCCCCTGGAGCCAGTGTTTAATAAGGCAGCTCATGAATATCAGAGCCTTGCAAGACAAAATGTTACTCTGGTTTAGCGTTGCGTGCGTTTCAGACGGCAGCCGCGAAATCAAAGGGGCTCACTGCTGTTCACATAAACATTGCTTACGTACTGGTGCTGGAAAACGTGATCACTGGTGGAGTGATTGATACTTGGCTTTGATGACTGTTTAGTGAGTGATACCAAGATCAATAAGGTCAATATCCTCCTGATTGCCCAATTAAAACTAGAGGAAATGGACTTAACTATGCAAAGCACATATGTGCATTAAAGAGTCACACGTCGAGTTTAAAAACTTGACCAAACATTTACTCTCACCATCTCCACCACATGGATTTCACACAAAATAAAAACGTGCACACTGTCCAGTCTTCATATCTGCCCCTTTAATGCATTACATTGGGAATATTTATAAATTACAAACTCCATAAGATCCTTCATATTAATATCACCACAGGGATCATCAAAATAAATTCACAGCACAAACAGCAAGCCTACTAGCTTAATGGCCCGTAATAACATCCCCAATGAAGTGGCCAATATATTTATTATTCAGCTGGAAAGACAACACAAAATAATCGACAAATCAGTTTGCTAAGTGATCACACTAATTCGGAAAAACTTACAGTATATTTGAATTATGATATAAAATTATTTGATGTTACCCGTGATCCATTTTTGCAATGCCACTGTAGACTAATGTTTCCACACAAAATGCTACCCTTCATCTCGTTTTTTTCTCATTCTTATTTCTTCTTTCTCTTCATTTGCATTTTTTTTATTTGTTAGCCTCTCACTCATGTCTCATGTATCTCATAATAAAGAAACAAAATAAGAAAAAAAAATGCCAGAACATGGGCATGTTTATCAGTCTGCGTTCTGCCAGCATCATACGGATGTTTCTGTCTGTACTGGTGACTTTGGTTTCATTTGCGCCTGTTTGCAGAGGTCTGAACATTTCACGATCTAGGAGATATTTTGTTTCCTGTAGAGACACGAGGTCTTAATTACCCTGGATAATTAGGCTTTTAATCACTGTAGCTCACTATTTAATAGAAAGGGAATTATTTGTTTTTCATTATAAAGAAATTAGACCATGGAAAAACAGTATTAAGATTAAGATGCACTTTATTGATCCCAGGGGAAAATTCTGGAATCTATGAATCCCAGCCAGTTTTATTGTAATCATTATTTAGCCAGATGTACCATCAAAGAGCAGTCCGTGGGGGAGCTCTCTGAGACTTCTCCCTAACGTGAGTAAAATGTCTGCAGGGTGTTTAATGATTCTGCAACCTTATTTAGAATAAATCAGACACTGTTTTTCCTACATTTTTCTTGTCATAGCTGGTGCTTTCACATGCACTGAATTGAATTTCATGTCACACGTAACCATCTCATATTATAGCTCTATAAGCAACAAGCCAGAATTCACAGACAGATATTTTTGATACATAAGAGGTACAGACCACGGTTTTTCATTCCTTTTTCCTGGGATCTGTTTCAGGCGCTCAGGTTTACTGACACGCTGGACGTTATGGTGAAGGGGGGGGGGGCAAAAAAAGACGACCCGAGAGCAGAGGCAAGCGGCCACGCAGGAGACGGGTTACGCGTCGCTCATTATAGACATCGGTCTGATTCCGTCTGATTTGAGAGCATTTACCCTTTCTGCATTTGCTGTGCCTGAACATTACTGTTATAATACAGGGCAGCGCAGCAAGGCCTTCAGAACAGGAGTACATTTGCCCTTAAGCCCATGTCTATGTGGCCACTCATCCACACAGAGATGAACATGCACCATCGCTGCAGGATAAATTCACAGCAGAAACAGTGAGCCCTAGTGGCTTAATGCGCCATAATAACATCCCCAATGAAGTGGCCAAATGACGTGTAGTGAGGAATTGAGTGCATTATAAAAACCGTATATTCATCCATCCAGCCTTCTTCTATTCTGGTCAGGATGGGGGGGGGGGTGAGCGGTGAACAGACCAATAGAAATGCATTAATTATTCATTTTGCTATAATCCATACACAATTACATGAGGAACCATAGAACAGGAAGTTCAAGGAAGGAATTTTCCAGAGACAAGCACATCACAGTAATTACAGCTAAAGCTGAACTTCAAGAAGATACTGAAAAATTCATAAAATTACAGAGCACCCTGGGATGATCCCATATGGACCACAGCCACCAGACATTTATTATAATATTGCAATAAAGAAAAATATGTATCAGAATTAGGATAATTTGAAGTAACTGGTGAAGGGTTGCCGGAGTAAATTCTAAATCAACCCTACAAAGACCATCTCTGCAGAATGAAACGGAAGATTAGATGATGACAAGAATCTGGTCAACAGTGAGGACATATCGATCAATGCTGAAGAGCGTGAGAGGTGAACTTGTACCCATTGTGGTGACGGCTCACATACTTATGATAATAAACAATAGTTGACATATTTGTGATCTTTTTTAGGGTTGTTTATTTTCTATTTTCTAGGATTGTTTTTCTCAGCCAGTGAAACGACAGCTTGATTGTCTACGAATCAGAAAAGTGAGTCCTGACAACAGACATGGAGCCCATTGATGGATTTGACTTTATAGTCCTCTCTAAATAAGCCTCACTGCATCACCACTGCTCATCCTTGCTGTTTTATTAGAATATCAGCACAGCATGGAGACAATAACCTTGCATCTAATGGACTCCTACACAGAAAAAAGGAACACTGATCTGTTGTCACCCAATTGTATTTATCAGTCAAACAAAATGGCTTTCCTGCATCTCCTGGGCATCTATTACAATCCACATTCCCTGCAGGTATGGCTGCTTCCTCTCTGTCATCTGAGGTCTGTGGGTCCTCTAATCTGTCTTCATTTAGACCAAGTGCAAATCCACACTCAGGAAGAGTGGTGAGTCACATGGGAGAAAGCAGCGTGATGATCTTGCCTGTTCTGGTAGGAAGCTGAGAGATTTCGAATCCAGGAGGAATCATGACTCACAGCTGAGAAAGCAGCATGGATTCACACTGCATTTCCATAAAGGGGAAAACACTGTAAATTATTTAGGATGGTTACCATTTTGAAATTTATTTTTAACATAAATTACCCCTGCAACTTAAATTTAACGTGATGTAGTCAGGCTCTGCGGAGCCCTGGCAATACTGCAAAAGTCATGGGAAAAATAATTAATTCGCTATGCCGCAAAAAGACCATAAAGCGGACTCAGTGAGGAAACAGCTCCGATGTGGACTTTGTCTCGCATAGTAAGTCACTTGAGCATACAAATTACCTCCAGAACATCATGTCTTGGCTCTAGGGCATTTCCAGCATATCTCACCAATATATTTCTAGTTATATAATTTAGACTATACACAATGGAATATGAGCAAGGTCTACAAATGGTCTATTTTTTTTATCAACCCCCATTATTATTGAGGAATTTATGATAATCACTTCCTGTCATATGACACAATGCACGCAATTGTGCTGCTCAATCTTAATATGTCAGCGCTGTTCATTTCATCATATCACGTCATTTTTGTATATGTTCGGTCTGTTCGCCGTTCTAAGCCAACTGGTTAGCATCCCAAGCCCCCTAATGTAAGAGGGAAATCTACGCATTATCATTAGACAGCAGACAAAGAAAATGAGTACAGAGGTTCTACGTCACTGAATGCGATGTCACCAATCAAACAGGTCATGTGTGATACAGCAGGCAGTTCCTTCATAAACTTGGTGGAGCAGCTAAACCATTCGTGACCGAAACGCTCCCTAAAGTCAGGCATCGCCCTCGTTGCCCAGAAGTCTGTTAGAGATGCAGAAAGATTCTGCAGTTTTTACACCGCAGCGTGAATATTATCAATAATTAACAGTTAAAGAAGACATACATTTCCTGCTTGATGCTTTGCCATCCATCCATCCATCCATGGAGGCAGCATGGGGCTCAGTGGGGCAAGCCTCTGTACCTGTGAAGGGAAGGTCACCGGTCTGAGCCCGGCCTTAGCCAAATAGTCATGTCTCTGGGCCCCTGAGCGAGGCCCTTAACCCCCAGCTCCATGGGGGCCGCTGCAGGTGGCTGCCCGTTGCTGCCAAGCTCGCCCTCACCTACATGTGTGTCATGGAGGGCAAGATGGACAAGAAGAGAATTTCCCCACAAGGGATCAACGAAGTGTCATTGCTATCATCCATCCATCCATTCAAGTAGAGTGAGACCATTTCAACAGCACAGCTCTGTAGCCATGCCAGTGCAGGACAATGGGAAGTAACCCTCACGCTGTGCTGTCAAGATGAGTTTATCCAGGCAAGCACAGCCAAGACTTGGGTATGTAGTCTGGGGTGGGAGAGCGCAGGGCGAGTAGGTGGCAGACTGGATGTCAGGGATGTCGGACACACTTTCTGCATATCTAACAGGGCTGGATCCTACTGCAGCCCCCAGGCTAAACGTGCCTAATGACTATGAAGAAATGACAAACTTTTCAGCACATCAGTTTCCTCTGCCGCTCTCATAGACTCATATTCAGACGCACAAGGCAGTGTAGCCTGTCCTTGCTTCCTCAAGTTAATGCCTCAAATAGCCCCTCACAGAATGGGCTTCAAATCAGAACAATAAGCAACAGTGTCATCATTCAGATTTCTGTGTAGACACTCTTCATATTTACACCTTAAGTTGTTTTGATCACAAAAAAGGCGTCCGGTACTCACACACACAAACACACACACAACACAGGCTAAGCTAATGTCAGTTGCCACTGATTATCAGACTGTAATGTAGAATATTCAAGCCCAGTATACTTTACAAAAAAACTGAAAGAAAACCTACAACCAGACACCACTATTTGCTCAAATGCCACTACTATACTAATTGCTTTGTCAATGTTATCATTTTCCTCTAACTAACCCTAAATGTAAAATTCTTACACTTCAGAAGCTGAACTCTGACCACCTATCAGGTAAAACATTCTTGGTTCCACAACATCTTTTACTTTTACTGTTACTTATGTTTCTCTGTATTTGCCTTTTTAAGCCGTTTCTCTTATTTCTTTTAGGATACTTGGCATTGTCCTCTTCCGGCACACGAAAGCACAGCGTTCCAATGGACAGTGCTGACTCCTCATACTCCCTCATACTCCCTCATTTTTTGAGTCTGGTTCCTGCTATTGGCTCATGTAGATGGAATTTGCATTTTCCACAGACTCGCAAGGGTTTTTCTCTGAGTGCTCCAAAGGCATGAGTCTGTTCTAGATCAAGTACTTTAGTATGTGCATATGAGCCCTGTGATAGATTGGGGGTCCTATGAAAGGTCGGCCCTGTTCTCCCTGGAATGGTCTCACAGAAACAGTCCACTTGGTAAATGGTCATGGAAGATTGATGTATGGAATTATCCAGTTTACAACATTATTGCTTCGCCCCCCCACTGTCTGCCCGTTTGGCTGCAAGATCAAGCCAGGATACTGGAAGTCTTGGCTCCTGGTAAAGCTGCTACTGTCAAAAACATTGTTTATCACCCCTCTCCCATAGGGAAATGTGTGCAGATGGCTGCATTGATTTGGGGACTGGTCCCTTGTGTACAGTCTCTAACAAATGCCGTATAGTTGAATGTGCACACAATGACCACCTAACCACCAGTCTTACACTGCAAGAACTGAATCCAGCCCGACGAGATACCAGCAGGTCGTGAAAATGTTCAATGGTACAAAGTCATGTAACGGTCACATGTGTGTCAGGCTTTTTTGTGCCTTTGCCCCCTATTTCCCAGAAACAATCACTAAGAGACGTCTCTTTGAGCCCTGACTCTAGCTGCCTCCTGTCAATCCACTGCCCAAGTAACTTATAGATTATACAGATCATAGTGCACATCATGATTTGGTAAATGAAACACCAGAAATACTTTAAATACACCAGCACACAAAGATGCCTTGCAGAAAAACTCCCTCTTTTTTGTTGCCATAAAATGAATAAATAATAGCATGCCAAAGATGTTATAAAAAACCCCTAATGCAAAGTCATGGGGGCTCTGGAGCTAGGTAGGGCTACACCCTGGATGGGAATCCAGTGCACTGCAAACCTACCTCGCCTGAATTAATAAACCCCTAATGCAGAGTCACAGGGGCTCTGGAGCTAGGTAGGGCTACACCCTGGATGGGAATCCAGTGCACTGCAAACCTACCTCACCTGAATGAATCAACTCCTAATGATAGTGTTTTGCTCTGTGCCCTCCTTCTCCTGCATATATACCCTCAGCTACATCCAGGCATCTGCCAATCAACTGTATCCAGGGATAGAATGAAAAATTTTAGCTGAATCTCGTTTTCTATATTCAATTGTATCTCATTGCCCCACTTCCAGCAACTGGATCACCTGAACAATGACCACTACCCCTAGTTTTCATCATATATAATATATAATCATGAATAATTATATTATAGAAAGTGAGATTTGCAGACACGTCCCAAAATCTCTGTGCTCATTTGAGCCATTCTGTCCTCATATAGGCGTTTATTCGCTTTTCGCTAATTCCGCATTTCTTCACGCCTCCCTTGTCCTATTATTAGCATTGATGATATCTGACTGATTGACTGGCAACGGCAAATGGTTTCCAAGGTGACACGTAGCTGTGCTGAGGCACCCCTGGCTATTTAACACGCCTCCTGAACCTTGGTGTGTGGGACCAGCATGGGCAGAATGTGCCCTAAGCCACTGAGACTGTCGAACCCACAGCATGACAATTTGGAAACAGCCTGTAACCAAAGACATCTTCAGCTGTCCTTCCTCTCACTGTATTTTTAGCAATAGCTAGATGGCAATGGTAAGTATACTGAGACGTAGGTGTTTTTAACCATCCATTTCTAAAATATCTACTTGACAGATTTTTTTTCCCGCATTTCTGATCAAACTGAAAGAAATATTGCAAAAGAGATACGTTTGTTTAAAATTATTTATTTTAACTGTCACACCTACCCTGGGGTCAAATGTCAGGCTTTTCTCATAGTGACATAATTATCGTACGAGTGTGTAAGAGTTACAATAATATTTAAGTTATAAATGTGCCATCAAAAGCTGCATGAAAAAAAATTTGCGTGATAAACCGAATTGGGAAGATGTTCAGGTGCATGTACCTGAGCACATTTAACAATCGCTAAGTCTACTTAGCAAAGCAATTGAGTACCCCGAGTTCATAACCTTCCTGTCAATACAACAACATAGCCACCATCTATTAAAGGAATTACAAAATGTAGCATGCAATAATAAAATATACAAGCATACTTACCTAGCTTGCCCACTGTATCAGTTACATTCTAATCCAGTATATGAGGGGCAGTGTGTTGAGAATCTGTGCCCGGGAGCAGTAGGTCGTCAGATCATATCACATAGTCGGAGCGATTACATCACTGGACCCTTGAGCAAGACCCTTAATCCAAATTGCCCCAGGGCCAGGCTGCCCCTCCTTTCTCAATTGTGCATCACCTTGGGTAAAAGCATCCACTAAGCTAATAGTATATTGTCTGCAAAAGTATTTTCCAATAAACAAAAATACAAGCTCATCCTACCCTTGAAAGGGCTCTCTTCTTATTTTGATGCATTTTATTTCCATGTCCCGGCAGGACAGAGGTGGCAGGGTCGCATGTTATTTGCACTTGCTGTGGTTCCCTCCGTTTTGGCTGCTTGGGACAAGTAACAACGAACAAAACAGCTGCTGGTTTGAGCGCCGGCTGGGTGTTGGTCAGTGCCCACTCACTCCCACGTCCGCAGCCTGCCAGTCCCCAGTGTGGGCACATAGCAAGAGAGGGCTGCTTATCAACTGTGTGCCACTTTTACATTACAAGCATAGAGCCGACAAGGAGGGAGGTAGAATTAGCTTTCTCCTGTATTAAGGTTTTTGTATGTTGCAAGTGGACCGACAGCCTCCTTTGCAAAACAGAGACGCCTGATCAATACAGTAAAACAAGTAAGCACAAGATACAATATATTGCAGTGATGTTTAGAGTGATGATATGGGGTACAAACTGGTTCATCTTCTCTCAGCAGCAGTGCTCATTTATCAGCTAATCTACTAGAATCCATGGATAGAAAGTTGTGATTTAATCAGAGGAAACACGTGGTGCTTCTTAATACCAAGAACGCAAAGGTCGTACTTGTGGTCTTTGCAAGACTGGTCTTGCTAACTTGCCTCCCAAGAACGAACCTGGGGTGCAATGAATCATGGGATTGGTCTTGTTTGGCAACGATGCAACTGATGTATCCTTGATATTTGTGGCAAGAACGACATATGGTGATTTTCACCGTCCTCTGTACCTCTGTTCATGGATCTCGACTTCCAAAGTAGAAGATGACGTGAAACGGGCACCAGGACACAAATATGTCCAAGTACACATACTGAGAAACACGCGTGTTGTGACCAGGGCTCAAACTGTCATGGAGTGTGTGGGTGCCCCCCCACCCCACCATGAGAATAAATGACAAAGAACAGATCAATATTTTATATGTATTATTCATTGTTTGTTCGTACAGTACTTTCTCCAGTGGTTCCTTCAGTAGTTCATAAAGGTTTACATAATTAACAGATATAGTAACAAATATAGTACTTGTTTGAGATAAAAGATAAGTGACAATTCATTAATGAGCAAACATGACATCAGTTACTAACTAACACTTAATTTGTGGTTAATTAGTACATAATTTTCCCTTCAAGTAAAGTGTTACTTATCATGGTTTTAATTCTAGTCTACTCCAGTTTTCAACATCACTATTGCCTTTCACTGCAGTTCTCCCTATCAAACACAAAAGAGCAAGCAATTGATCCTTGATCCATCTCTCGTCTTTACCGTTTCCCAGAAAGCATAATTCTGTACTGTGAAAGTCCATGGTTATCATTGGTCATGCAAATAATTTCTTTAACCTTGTCAAGCGTGTGGTGGCGTTGCTGACAAAATAAAGCCAATCAATGTAGCAGACAGACCTGTGGTCATATTTTAAAAAGACGTAAACAGGAAGTAAGGCAGCGGATATTAAGCATGTACGGCATTTCCAGCTGGGATTATATTGGTGAGACATTGTATAGTTATCAGCCAATTAATTTCTTAATTAGCTAACACGCGAAAGTATAAAATAATTAAAGTGTTGATTCTGTTGTAGCTAGCCAGCTATAAAGTCTTTTCTTCCCACCAGACGAACATCTCGGTGAGGAGGCAGTTAGCGAGGGTGTAGCCTCACTCTCTTCTGTGTTTTTACATCTACAATCGATAAATACTGAAAATATACAGCAGAAAAGGGTTGTGTTTTTTGAAGCAGCCTGTTCATCATTTCTATTTGTTTTGTATCATTTCAATGTGACAATATTTGTAATAATGTTCTTAGAAAATTAGTTACTATAAAATTGATGAGTGTAGACTTCCAGTCCTTGGGTGATAATCCACAAAATATGTATCTGTAAGTATCATCCCCCCCACAAAGATTTGACTCCCACCATCCCCCGTGAAATATTTTTACAACTCATGACCATATGTTGCCATACATGTGATTAACCACAAGCGATGCCACCCAAACAACCAGACCTCAACAGTCCTATGTGACAAGGATACCCAGAAACGATGCGTAAAGGTCCTTAACGCTCAGCCAAAGCCCCTGAGAAGACAGAAACTGCTGAAGGGATGAGAACTGACCAGTGTCACATGGTATAGGTCAGTGCTCACTTGCATCATGCGTCTGTAAGTTGGTTTAAGCTCTGACGTTTCTCCATGGTGCTTGTCTCACACCCTAAAACCTCAAAAACAGGGTGTATTACTCTGAAGACCATGAGATGAACAAATACAAAAATGTGCATGTCTCCACTGTCCATAACATGTGCAGTCGCTCAAAGAAAGAAATACAGGCTGATGAAAAACAAATAAATACTTTGTACTAAATTAACTATTTATGTGGAAAAAAATAAAATGTGTGATCTTGCAAGGGGAAACGTCATTTTACATTATGCAGAGACATACAGTACTGAAAAAGACAGTCAAGCAAAATATTTAAAATAAAAATTAAAAATATATGGACAATGAAGGCGTAATAAACATGGCTGCCCATATAATATTTACATTTCTTGATATATATAGCCAACTGCTCTGAAATGGCTGAAAACTGGAACCAATCATAAATAGCTAATCAGTTTGAATTTGGTAAGCACATTTGGACAATTGAACTGTCTATAGGATATTGAATATTTGTTTACACAGAATTCTGTTTTTGTATGTTTGTATATACACTCACCTAAAGGATTATTAGGAACACCATACTAATACGGTGTTTGACCCCCTTTCGCCTTCAGAACTGCCTTAATTCT